CAAAGAAGGCAAAACATCTTGAACATAGCGAGACAACCCCAAAGTCTTGTCTTGATGCAGTGTTTAAGTTACTTGAGACTAGTAGTCAGACAAGCGCACAGAATTCACTGTCTGAATCAGTTCGACTTCTTGAGTCCAAAGTTCTAGCAGAAAGGCATTCTGCAACTCAACTTTGAATTGAAGTCCTATCTCGAAGAAAGGTTGCAGAGAACACCAATGAGAACCTCATTGCTAAACAGCTACACTTGGAAGCTATGACTGACATGCTAGGTCGGTCTCACAGCCTTGCTCAGCAGCTTGTCCAGCAGTTCCCGCGCAAGGTTAACCTTTCTCGAGCTGTCTTGGAAGTGGTCTTGGTTCAGTATATTTTGTTACGCTGCAATGGTGCCCAGTTTTTGTAATCTGCTTCTTCGTTGCGCTTTATGATCACTGGTGGCGAACTTCGATGCCCAGTGGATGTAATATACCATAAATTCTTTATTGTATAGTGTAGGTTTTTTCAAAGTTACTATATCGTAATTTCTTTATTGTATAGAGTAGGTTTGTTCTTACTTCCTACTAGTTACTGCCATCATTCGCTATCTGGAAAAAAAATCTGATGTAGTCGACCAGGCCAAAACATTCGCCTCTAACGGGCCTGGTTTTTAGCGGCCCACAATTGGGCCGGCCTGCAACTTTCTTGGGTCCGAATGGCCATTGGGGCCTTCACACTTTGCGCCAGGCCCACAACTTACTCCGGCCTATATTCGGCGCAAATTTTAGTTGGGCCTTTTGTGGACCCAGCGCTTAGTTTAGCCCATGTAGCTTTGGGTCATTAACAGGCTGAATATTCTGCTGGCCTGCTACGACCCAGAAGAAACCATGGGCCTTAAGCAAGCAAAAATGCATGTTGGGCCTCAATTTTCACTAGTCGTCGACGGGTCTTCAGTAGGTTGAAATGTAGACCGGGCCTTTTTTGGCCCAGTTATATGACGGGTCGTTACCAGGCCGAAACATATCTCGGGCCTTAGTTGGCCCACTGATATCATGGGCCTTTAAGAAACTGAAAGATTTGTACAGGCATCAATGGGCCGAATTATACGACATGCCTTTAATAGTCCCAAAGTCACGTTGGGATGAACTGTTGCCACTTTTATCACAGGCCGTTAGTGGGCCAGATGTCGTGTCGGACAATATATGGCCCATGGGCAGCCTTGCCATTCCCAGGCTGAAAGACACACCGGGCTGAAATGGGCCCATGTCTACATTGTACCTCTAATAGGTCGGTCATTCGGCCGTAATTGGGCCCAAATATTTGGCGAACAATTAACGGGCCAGATCTGGCTTCGGGCCGTAAATGGGTCATGTTTAAATAGGCCGTTATTGGGCTGGCCCACTAGTACCAGAGTAAGTACTACGGGCCTTCGACTGGGCTGGCCTTTTTAACCTATATGGGCTTCTGTTGGGCCCTGCCATGTGTTAACGTATCATAGGCATGTCTCCTCCAATGGACGGACGACATCCCACCGAGGAGCAAACACGTGTTTCCTCCAGCCAATGATGATTTTACACGTGGAAAATTCCCATTGGTCCGGGCTGTTAACGCGTTATCGGATCCAAACCGGAACCCGATAGCTTAACGGCAACTCGTTACGGTGGATGCCACGTGTCGGTCACACTTGACAAAAGCACTTCTATGACGCGCGATTTATCGTCATGGAAGTGGACACTTCTTTGATGATAATTTTGGTGATGTCATGGAACACTTCTACGACAGTACAAGTATGACTATCTTGATTCTATCATAAAATCGTCATGGATGTACATGCATGGCAAAAAATGTGACCTACTGTGACAAACACGTATCATCATGGAAGTGTATTTTTTTGTAGTGAGTGCCTGCAAAAAATACCTTGCTGAAAACTGCTTGTCATTTCCTCCTGCTCCTCATTGGGTTCGACACTCTTACTTATCTAAAGGACTATGGTTGATCCCCTATACTTGTGGGTCATCAATAATCCCTCACTAGTAATCAGTTTTTCAGTTTGACCGATCAAAGATTCCTACAAATGGGCCTAGTAGATGTTGGCGTGGCTCCTTCCATGTGGAACCAAACATAATTTTTTCCATGACGGTGACCGTCACTAACAGTTACCACAATAGTGTTTGAGCAGTCAACAATTTTGACATATGGACCTAATGATATGATAGCATGCCTGCTGCCAATTGGGTCCGGACGTGCGTAATGTGGCTTCTTACATGCGGGTCCACATGCTCATGCCGACATGCATAACCGTCACATTTTGTAGGTGCTGTCAATTTGTTGTATATTGTAATTGGGGGCATATTTGAATAAAATTTGTAATTATTGATAGTTTTTGTATGAATTTGTGAAAAATTGATTTGTTAATGCAATTTCAGCTCTCGCAGCTATGATTAAATTGCAAACTTGACAATTTTCACAACTGTCTGAGGGTTGATGATAATGGCGCGCCTTTGGCTCACTGCAGTGCTTAATATCATTGCCAAGCATTCTACCGGAATGGATGTAATTTCTATGACTCTTGGTGTTCTTTGTGCTACCTTGACTGTTGATGAATATATCAAAAGTTTTTCCCACAAAGAAAACATACTCTGTATGCAGCATTACCCGAAGAACGCTTTCTGCTCGCGTATATCATTTCAATCTACAATGTATTATTGATCTCAACTATTCTTTTATATTGATAATTTGAACCACCGGTTTCCTATTGATATAATGATATAATATATTGTTATAAATATGCCAATATTCACTCCAAAATATTTTTAGTGAGTATTAATTATGTCCTATATATAGTCCATGCAAAACAGTCAAAATCCATGGCATGCATGTGAGCCTTATATTTGGATACAAGTTATGGCTGGTGTTCTTTCCTATTGTGCTTCCTTGGCACTTGATGGATAGATTGTAGGGTTTTCCTGATTTTTTCTACTATGTATGTAGTATTGGCTGAAAAGCAATCTATGTCCATGTATTTGTTTAGATCTACAACAAATTATGGATGTTAGTAGTTCTTTTTTATTGATAATCTAAACTACCCAATTTTTCTACCATTTTAATAATACAATATATTATTATCAATATGCCAACATTCACTCCACAAATATGCTTAATGACTACTCCCTCTGTCCAGAATTATTGTCGCATAAGTGGATAAAAATGGATGTATCTAGAACTAAAATACATCTAGGTACATCTACTTCTCCGACAAGTATTTCTGGGAGGAGAGAGTATTTATTATGGCCTAATTATTGGCCATACCACAAAATTCAAAATCCATGTTATCTTAGCCTTATATTTGGATACAATTTATTGCTTGCATTAATCATAGGTTGTGGCATAAATTTTGCATGCTCCTCATGGCTTTAAATTCTGATAGTCATAGCTACTTTGCTGAATGAGTTTGATACCTCATTAGGAACAAAACAGATTTGTGTACTTTTTCAGCTACTGAAGTTCTAAGGAAGACGACTACTAAAGTCAAAGGTATTTCTTGAATCTGTTCATATAGTCATGTTTACACGAAGCAAACATCGGGCTTGCGTGAGAAGGAGACGTTGAGAGTAGGGATCTTAATTTTGAAATTTCGAAGCCGCCCCTATTTGGTCGCTTGCCCCATTGCAGGTGACGCGCAAATCCTAGCCCCTTCTCCTCCAGCCCCCTTCCACATCCTCCCCTCCTGCCGCCATCGGGGCCTTGCCCACGCGATGCTGGAGGCGGCGGGCAGCTCTTTCCCCGAGCACACGGCATGGGCCCAGGGGATCCTTTTGGTGGCAGTGTGGCTTGGTCGGTGGCGGTCTGGCTCGGGGAGGCGGTTCCTCGGTCCTCGGGTGCCTTAGGCATGGCGGCGCGGCCGTTGGTTGCGGGGTGGCGTCGTGGTGGTGTAGCTCGGCCAATGGCGCCTGCTAGGCCCAGATCCGGGCCATTTGGGCCCCATCTGGGTTCAGGCGGGCCACCGAATCTCTACACGGTGGCAAGGCTCCTTGGAGGTGGAAGTGGGCGGCGGTGGTCTCTGGGCGGTGGCGACGTTGGTAGCCGACGTGCTGCGGCATGGGCGAGGGGACTTCACGAGCCCATCTAGGCCCGGGCGGCCAGTAGGGGCTCGGTTTGTCCGAGTTGCGGCGTCCGGTCGGCTTTCGCATCGACGGTGGAGGTAGTCCCATCCCGCTTGGCTGCGTTGCTGCGGCCTCGGGTCTGTTGTTCCCTCTTCCTTCCTCTAGGCCCCATATCAATGGCCTCAGTTTGGCGATGAGATTGATTCAAGGCCGTGGTGGAGCATGTTGGTGGACGGCAAGAGTAGTGGAGCACTCGGATCGTTCGAGGTGGTGAGGATTTTTGGGTAGGGAGAAATCCATATAGGCTCGTGCGGCACCAAGGTGGTGTCGCCTGTGAGCGCCGTCGTTCCTTCTTGAAGGGCTTCCGGTATACCCCCTCCCCACTACCCTCCATGTACTAGGGGAAACCCTAGGACTCGTCTAGGCAGCAGCGTCGCTGTCACCTTCCTTCTTGAAGGTGTTTCTTGGTATGCGATGCTTCGGTGTGCTTGGAGCGCGGTGGGACATCTCCATAGGGCGCAACCATTGCCGATCTTCTTTGTTTTGTCAAGCTGCCGGTGTTAGCATTTGTTTCTCTTTCTTTCTCTCATTTCAACAAGCATGTTTCAAAATTATTGAAGTAATCAGCGCCAGATAATCATGAATATGTTATAGTGAAGTCAGGAAAGTATGTTAATGTATATTTTAGATAGTAATTAAGGTCTACTTAATTACATCTTGGTCTAGGAAACTCATATGGATGAATTCAAGTATTCTTAAAGTGAAGTTACATCTGACTAATGTGGGCATAAAAAACTAAATGTACTTTGACTTGTAGAGTTCTACATGAGGTTCCTTTTATGTATGGTTTTAACTGCTACTTTTAGTTAACCTTCAGTTCTACATAGGGGAATAACATTCTTTTTTTATGATAGCAGATTACCATGGACGGAGACAATAGTGGTGTGCACAATGAATTTGACCTCTTCATGACAAGCACACACAACCACCTATTCCAGCACAACCATAGTGATGAGATGGATGACCTGCCTGGAGCCTCTACTATCGTGGGCAACACTGATGATGCCAACGTTGTTGTTGCAGACCACGACAACAACGATGGAGAGACCCATAGTGAGCAGACAATGGCCACAAGGCGTGCAAAGTATCATCGTCTGCGCAGTGAACAAATCCAACAACTTGAAGCGTACAATACATACTCAATCAATGTTTCTTACCTAGCGAAGATGTGTGCTAATCCATTTTCATTAACGTGATATGTAGTGTGTTCTGGGATTGCCCTTATCCAAATGAGAAACTCCGGAAGGACCTTAGCGAGAGGCTTGGCATGAGTGCCCAGCAGGTCAAGTTTTGGTTCCAAAATAAACGCACCTTCAACAAGGTATATACCATTCTTTTCCATAGTTAATTACATATGGGTCAGCTATGGTATGCAGTTATATGCACACTTTGTTCTTAAATAGTATGAACTCCACTGAACATTGTAGCATTGTTTGTCATTTGATCTTACAATATACTATTGTATTCCCCTCATGAACATTGTATCATACTCTACTAACCACTAATTAAAATGATGCATAACTGAAATTAATAAATGCAGGGCAAGATGCAGCGGTGGGAGACCCAAAATTGTTGGATAGAAAACAAGAAGCTGAAAACTGAACGTCAAGCCATCATGTTGGCTATGCAAAACAAGACTTGCCTCAAATGCAGAGGGGTGATGGTACAAACACAACATACTTCGGAGTTCCAACGCCTATACACCGAGAATATGAGGCTCAAGGAAGAACTCCTACACGCCACTGCCTATCTTAAAGAGGGTCTTCGCCGAAATGGCATGTCGCTCCCATCGGCCCGCGACTGACCATACCGTCTTCGGCCTGAGCCAACATTCATTCCGCCGCATGAACTATAGTTTTACTTGGTTCCTCAGATAGCAAATAATGCGCCATGTTGCGTGTGTATGTACATGACTTGGTCGCTTGTTTATTTATTTCCATAGACTCTCATGGTTACTACGTGGGATGGCACGAGATATGGCAATCGTGGCAGCAATGTAGGGGTAGTAGGATGAGCGGCTTTGGGATGGCATTGCCGTGAAGCTCGGTCTAACGCCCGTCTTTGTCTCTTTGAGTTTGTAACAGAACATATCAAGCAGATGCTAATAAATAGAGAAAAACAAACATAGAAGTTGCAAGGTGAATGCCGCACAATAACATTGTGTGTGTGTGTGTTCTAACACTTAATGGTATGAGTATGACATTCATGAGATACCTCTACCATCGATGTTTTTCAGCAACATAAAGTGGTATGAGAGCATTAATCATCTTCTGGAGCCAAGGCTGGAAGTGAACCACAATCGCCACCCACCTCACGCACTCCCGTGTGCATGCACCTGTAGAGTCATGCACAAAGCATGATGAGGAGGATCAATGGATCGTGACAAGTCGTTACTACTAGCAATGACTTCCTCTTTCATTACTTCATCCTTTCCATATCCCTCTCCCTTGTTCGATCTTACTCATCAAATGGCACTCAGTTCATATCTGTAAGTTCGTTTGATCATTGACAAGGTTCAAAGAAAGGGTGGGCCATTCACCATGAAGGCTAAAAGCGAGATAGGCTTTACTGGACATTTTCGCTTACAAAGGCGAAGACAATTCCATGTTTTTTAGTTGATTCTCCGAAATTTAAGAAAAATATCCTCACTCAAACTTCCAAAAGTCCTTTTCTTTTAAGCTATAATAAGTGCAATACTTGGTGAAGGATTCCTTGGGCCCCTCTTGTGCCCGATGGTCTCCCGCATGAATTACGCCAAATGAGAATTTTTGTCACATGTGAATAAGCAAGTGCAGGGCTTCTGCAAGTCCATGGAGTACAACCCAATCAGTGAGCGCACTGGTGGTGAACCTCTGGCGTGGGACACTAGAGACGATGTGCATAGCGGCCTTGCTTCATCACAGAAGTAAATAACATGCCCATCAATATTATCGACCAAGAGATATTTAACCATAGCAACATTAGGTTCAACTTAATTTTTTCCAGAGGGTCTAGGTGCTCTGATGTAACTTTTTGTTAACCACAGTTGATACTTTAGCATGTTCCTTTATCCTAACAGGAAAAGGTGGTTTCTCCATATAAGCGGTAGGCACAACTGGATCAACATTGTAAATGATAGTTTCATTTTTAACTATAACGGGTTCCTCAATCTTTTCTGTAATAGGGGGGTGATATTTAAACCACTTCTCCTTAGGGAGATCAACATGAATAGAAAATGATTCACAAAATGAGGCTACTATCTCAGAGTCTAGTCCATATTTAGTTCTAAACTTATGAAAAGCATCGGTATCCATAAAAAATTTAACACAATCAAACTCAAGTATAATGCCTGACTCTTTACCTTTGTCGTGTTCGCAATCTTCAGAGTTGCCTTTAATTATTTCCAGAAGAACCCATCTAAATTCAATAGTTTTCTTCATAAGGGAACCAATAGAAGAAGAATCGAGCATGGTTTGATCATTATGAGAAAGCCGAGCATAAATATTATGTAAGATAATTTTTCTTGAGAGTTCATGATTGGGGCATGTGTACATCATGTACTTAAGCCTCTCCAAAGCTCGAGCAATGCTTTCGCCTTCATGACGCCAAAAACTATACATATATAATTCCGATCATGATGAACCAGATGCATAGGATAAAACTTTTCATGAAATTCCAATTTCAATCGGTTCCAATCCCGAGTTCTAATATCATAACATAGACTATGCCATGTCAATGCCTTTCCCCAGGGAAAACATGTCGGCGTTCTGGGAACAGGGGTCCCCAGACTTGCCTGCCTGCGGCCCATGGCGTGGCTGTGCTGGCAGGTCTGTACGGCCCATCATCATCAACAAGGCATTCAAGACCCTCGCGAGGGGCCAAGTGTCGCGAGGCGGACGACGCAAGACCTCCTCAGGAGCGGCCTCAGTGGGCTGCCTCGCGAGGAGGGGAAATATCAAGGCGGGGCAAAACTCGCGGGGCTCTCGTGATGTGAGCCATGACGATCGACACCAGGCGGGCGCCAGCGCGCGCAACGTCCTTGTTTCCTCTTTGGTGCTAAGGAGGCAAGTGTAGGCGCGGAGTACCGAGGCATCAGGCAAAGGTTTCCATATCGGTGGAACAAGACCAAGACCAGAAGGACAGCAGGACGGAGGTCACCATGGAGCCCAGGACGACGTCACCACCAGAACCTTTGGCAGGCGAAGACCACCTTTTCTCAGGATAGCTTGTACTAGTTGTCCCCTTTCAAATTGGCTGCCGTTGTTGGCTCCCTTCCCGCTCAATATTTGGGGAGAGGACCAGGGCCTATATAAGTAGGACTAGCCAATACCAAAGGGGGAGATCCAATCTGATAAAAGGCCAACCCTTAGCACACCAAGCACAAGAACATCTCAACCTCAGGAGGCTGTTCTTCCCCTTGTACTGTTCATCATCAGCCCAAGAGGCAATCCACCACCACCGCACTGGAGTAGGGTATTACACCACATCGGTGGCCCGAACCAGTATAAACCTTGTGCCTTTGTGTTGCGACTGCGTCGAGTTCGTCCACGAGACCTTAGCGAGCTAGGGCGTAGATCGGAAGGAGGGAAAGAACTTCGCGCGCACCCTAGAGTTTGAACCTCAAGGGTTTGCCGGAACCCGAGATCTGACATTTGGCGCACCTGGTAGGGGTGCGTCAGAGTCTCTTCCTCGCCAATCAACCCGCCGACACTCCGCGGCCCCAATGTCCAGCGACGCAAGGGCTATCTCCGACCGCTGGGCAGCTTGGCCAGCCCAGGCGGCAACACCAGCCCACGAAGACCTCAACCCCGCGCCCCAGGCGGCGCAGGCGCCGCCTAACACTGCTGGGCATGAGCGACGTGGCCAGGTGTCATCCACCCCACCCCACGGCAAACGTGAGCCGCTGCAAGGGCCGCAAGCCATGCCGCAGCAACGGCACCACACACCCGGCGGGAGCAGGCGAACATGCGGGCCACGCTCACGGTGGCGCGGGAGTTGCTGTGGTGCCGGCTGATGGAGAGCGGACGCGATGCACTGCTGGAACGTGTCGCTGAGCTGCTAGATGCAGCAGTGGTAGAAGCGTCGCCTTTCTGCTATCTGCTTCCTTCCTGAGCCGCCACTAGGCCTCACGACGTGCCACGCTACAACCGTGCACCCTCGGGTGCGCCTTGGGGCGTCATCGGCCCCAGGATGGCCGGCAGCGCCGGAGGCCCCGTTGCCCCCACGCCGCCTCTGGTGAGCGCGGGCACGAGCGTTGCCCCCCATGGCCCCAGCGAGGCATCGCATTATCGTCCTCAGGACGCTGCGCTGGGTCGGGCGACGTGGAGTGCAAGGCACTACGACGAGGTGTTTGTGGTAACATCCCCAGAAGCCTATGTGCCCCGCATGATGGATTAGGAGTACACACCAGAGGATGACCATGGCTCGTTTCTCGGGCCAGGTGATAACCCACAAGTATAGGGGATCTCAACAGTTTTCGAGGGTAGAGTATTCAACCCAAATTTATTGATTCAACACAAGGGGAGCGAAAGCATATTCTCAAGTATTAGCAGCTGAGTTGTCAATTCAACCACACCTGGAAACTTAATATCTATAGCAAAGTATTTACTAGCAAAGTAATATGATAATAGTGATAACGGTAGCAAAAGGTAAAGATAGCAAAAGTAGTATTTTTGGTATTTTGTAGTGATAGTAACAATAGCAACGGAAAAGTAAATAAGCGAAGAACAATATATGGAAAGCTCGTAGGCAATGGATCAGTGATAGAGAATTATGTCGGATGCGGTTCATCATGTAACAGTCATAACCTAGGGTGACATAGAACTAGCTCCAATTCATCAATGTAATGTCGGCATGTATTCCGAATATAGTCATACGTGCTTATGGAAAAGAACTTGCATGACATCTTTTGTCCTACCCTCCCGTGGCAGCGGGGTCCTAGCGGAAACTAAGGGATATTAAGGACTCCTTATAATTGAGTACCGGACCAAAGCATTAACACATAGTGAATACATGAACTCCTCAAACTACGGTCATCACCGGGAGTGGTCCCGATTATTGTCACTTCGGGGTTGCCGGATCATAACACATAGTAGGTGACTATAGACTTGCAAGATAGGATCAAGAACTCTCATATATTGATGAAAACATAATAGGTTCAGATCTGAAATCATGGCACTCGGGCCCTAGTGACAAGCATTAAGCATAGCAAAGTCATAGCAACATCAATCTCAGAACATAGTGGATACTAGGGATCAAACCCTAACAAAACTAACTCGATTACATGATAAATCTCATCCAACCCATCACCGTACAACAAGCCTACGATGGAATTACTCACGCACGGCGATGAGCATCATGAAATTGGTGATGGAGGATGGTTGATGATGATGATGGCGATGGATTCCCCTTTCCGGAGCCCCGAACGGACTCCAGATCAGCCCTCCCAAGAGGTTTTAGGGCTTGGCGGCGGCTCCGTATCGTAAAACGCGATGAATCCTTCTCCTTTATTTTTTTCTCCCCGAAAGTGAATATATAGAGTTGGAGTTGAGGTCGGAGGAGCTCCAGGGGGGCCACAAGGTAGGGGGCGCTCCCCCCACCCTCGTGGCTAGGGTGTGGGCCCCCTGGTCTTGATCATTTGCCAGTATTTTTTACTATTTCCAAAACGACGCTCCGTGGAGTTTCAGGTCATTCCGAGAACTTTTGTTTCTGCACATAAATAACACCATGGCAATTCTGCTGAAAACAACGCAGTTCGGGTTAGTTCCATTCAAATCATGCAAGTTAGAGTCCAAAACAAGGGCATAAGTGTTTGGAAAAGTAGAT